TTTCATTAAGTCAAATACTGACTGATGTTTTTTCATGCTAATTGTAAGGCCATATTTACACGCTGAGTACACTGAATATATTATCCGGATTTTTCAGTTCTTTCAGAATCATGGCATGGAGTGACCGATTGACGTGCCTCAAACGAACAAATCAAATAACAATCAAGGAACAATGAAAATTGAGAAGTCACAAGTAAAATAAAATTTTGCACACGTAGATTACTGAAAACATTTTGCAGCAACGCATGCATACATGTCAATACCGGTATATAATTATGTTATCATATGTACATTCATTTATGCAAACCTTCTTAAGGACAGATGATACAAACAAACTTTTGTCAAAAAAAAAATGAAAATAACAACTTGAGCCATGTTTTAATCAATAAAATGAACAAGTTTCACCGCGTAGTTTTTAAATTTTTATTCAATTTTGCACAAAAATGGGATTTGAAGTGAAAAATATTTGTACAGATTAATAAGGATGGTTTCAGAGAGGCAGAACTTTGAACGTCTTAGAAGGTTTACAATTTCTTTATATTCTAGAAATTTATTATTTGCATCATTTTCAATGAAATTAGGCCAAAAAATGTATACCAATCCAGGCATCCATTTTTTGTTTGTATCATCTGGCCTTAAATCACAGTTTCCAAAGAGAAAATTATTTATTTTCTCATCCGTGAAATACAGTGGAGACAAAGAAATTTTCTTTAGTCAGATGCAATATATCTTAAAATGCCAAAAATTTCTCCGGGTGAATTGTTATCCTTATTCAGTCCAGTAGATGTGATACTAGTATTTTCCTTTTCTAAGTGGGAAACCACTTGGACACCGAAAATTTTTCAAGACAATTGAACCAAAAAGAAAATTAATATATGTTTTATTTAATTTTTTTTTTCAGAGTTGTCATGATTTTATTGAAAAAAAAACATTAACATAAAAAGCCCTAATGCCACCTAATTGAGCGTACCTCATTTTGATAATGATAATGCATTTCCTGTCGACAGTCACACCCGCCGTAACCCTTATGTTCTGATCAGATATACTAATTTATCCGCAATCAATTGTAATATACAAGTAATGGATATGACAATTGTTATGTGTCTATTATGCGTCAAACTTCTTATAAAGGGTTTTTGAATAAAGACAGTGGATCCTATTTTGGATCTTTCTGCGATTCCTCTACCAAGCTGTAAAGAAGCGAATTCAAAATATTTTACAAGCAATAGCAAGATGGACATATTAAATAAAAGATTTTATAAAGTACAACAATTTTACAAAATCAAATCCTTAGTGTCATGAATCAAACTTGAAACAACGATACAATAGTGTCACCGTTCGGAATTTGACATTTATCCGGAGTGTCACTAGTATTATAATAACCTTATCAATATAGAAACACAGCGATTTCATGATCAGTATACGATTAAAATTACTCTCTGGTTAACATTTTAAGGACAGGCATAATTATAAAGACAGATTTGATTTGCTAAATTCTGCAAATGGCAGACCAACCAAACACGTTCTCAGACGTGAATTAGATCGAGATCAGGATTTAAAATAGTACACTCGCAGCTGGACACCAAGAAATGTATTGCTATATTCTGCGGGTCAAATAAGGTTAAATCAAGGTAACGCGGTCATAACAACAGAGGCGATGAAAGCGACAAGTTTGTAAAATTGTGTTCAAGAATACACAGTTAAGATATCAATAATAAATAAATTTAAATTTTGGAAAGAAATAAATATTTTATAAAACTTCAATATGTGGCCTTATTTCTGGACTCTTAAGTCAACTAATTCTTCTGGATAAATATAAGGCTCGTTAAGGAGCACAATTAGTGCCCATCGCATTATCAACTGATTGTTGAAAGACATAATCTCGAAAGACTACATAAATGTAGAAATTTGTCAAAAACGGTTTCCAGTATCTTTAAAAATCAACTACCGGTACTTGTACGGATAACTTGTGTGTAGAATACCCAGACTGATTTTCAGCCAAATGATTTCGAAGATGACTGATCAAATTGAAAAAAAAAATCAGTTCTATTTTTATTGCTGTAGCAGCTATCTTTTAAATTGGAAGCTGCTTTATTGATAGATGAGTAGGGTTGGTTTCGGGTATTAGAGGATTTTTTTTCACATAAAAAATTAATTACATTTTAAGATCATCTCAATCTATAATTAAACATATCGTTGGTAGTCGCACGCGTGGCGCAGTGGTTAGAGCGAAGTAGGGAGTTGATCCTTACATCGCGAGTTCGAATCCCAATGTGGGACGTGGAGACCGGTCTTTGGATGAGACCGTATAAACCGAGGCCCTGTGTCGCAGTAGGTGCTGGCACGAAAATGATCCCTCCCTGCTCAATTGCCCTGAGTGCCGAGCATAGGACAAAATTGGCAGCTCTCCACCGGCAGTGGTGGCGACTCCATGTGAGTGAAAAATTCTCTCGAGGGACGTTAAACAACATACAATCAATCAATCAATTTATCTTTTATCCTATCCAGTTAGATCGCCACTTGATAGTAGCGATCTAGCTGGAGCGAATTAAAGATCTAATTTTAATTAGATTAGTTGAAGATAAAAGTATAAAAGTTGCCTGTGATTCCTCAATAAGACACCATGATACACTAATCTCCTCAATCAGAATGTCATTTGTACATTTTTGCCTAATGTCCTCTACAATTTTTTTTTTATTTTTCAGTTCAAATTTGAATATGACAAATGTCAAATACAAAATTAAATTTAAAAGAATACAACTTTTGTAGAGGACACTAGGGTATTCTAGAGGCAAAGTATTTTATAAGATTTGCTTTAAAACTGTTTTGTTTTAAGCTTAATTTGAAGCAATGCCTCTTAGATCGAAAGGACATGCCCAATCTACATACAGATTTCAAGATCTTGTAGATTTTTATGACTACATTCTGCATTTCCGTGCCTGAGCTTGCGCGTGCATTGTATTTTTGTGTTTCAAATGTTTTTGAGTTACAGATTAACAATAAATCTTGAGAAGTCAGTAATCGGAAAACAAATAGAAAGATATTATTGTCATAAATCTCAGAATCAAATTTGTATGTCAATCCCACCCAAAACAGGCAAAAGATCAAAGGGTACTCCAGCTACTAACTCGGAATTTACAAGAGAGTATTTGCGGATCTCAATTCAATACTAAGTCCTAAATCAAAGGCCTGTATCTTTGCACACAACATTCACTGACAATAAAGTCGCATCAGAGTTGATTAAAACTGCTGATAATCTTGACAATTTAATTTATACGCGATGCTTCTGTTTTCAAGGGATTTGCTGCAATGTAATGATGATGTAATTTTTATGAGTTATTACTTTAGTAGCATTAAAATAGTACTCGTTTTGTTTTCTCTCATTCGGAAAACAAATGAAAAGAAATCCACGATGCTATACTCTCACTGAAAATAAACGCTTAATTACAGCTTATGAATAACATAGCTAAATGGAATACTCTGTATTTCTCTTATGGAAAGAAGTACGAAAATTTCTCTATAACGACCGATTCCTGAGAGAGTTCATTTGAGGTCTACATGTATAGCGAAAAACTTCAGAAATTGTCAGGCGTATAAGTCTTAGATAATAATCTCATTCTATACGATACAATATCGTCACTATTAGCTTAAGAGTTAGACGATGTAAGAATAATTAGATTTCTTTTTTAAAAAATAATATTTTTTCGCGATTTGATTAAACTTAACTTTAAAAGTTAAAACTGATTTGAAAAACGCTCTTTCCATTTATATCAGAATAGCTGTGTAAATTTTCATATACATCCAAGTTCTTAAAAGTATTGTAGATGCACACTTGACTTATATATATTTTAAGTCTGTTGTCAAATATAAACACATGACCTCTTTTAAGAATACTCATTCATGTTATGTTTTGTCCGTTTATGACTGTAATAAATACGGCGCTGATAAGACGGCTCTTCACTCGACATTGAGTGGTGTAAGTCGTTCTTAGGTCGGGGGCTTCCGCTAATCTTCCTCGGCCACACGTTTATCTGATCTGAAATCTTCACGACAACACGAAATGATTGTTGCATTTCAGAATATGGCCTCCATTTTCTCTGATTCAAAATTGTAAACACAACAACTTCCTTCCGGGGGAGTGAAAATGAAGAGTTAATTTGTATCGCTTTCGGCAAAACTGGGGTCATAAAGGGTTTAAATGGATTTCTTTAAACAGTTTTTAAAATAAAATAAGACACTTAAAAATAATTTATATAAAAATGTTTGAATAAAAAAAATAATCATCTTTATTAAAATTTATTTTCTTAAAATTGAATGTTGTTTGTATATTTCGTCACCAAGAACTACTTCCCCCCTCCTCGATCCCTTCGCTTCTGCATTGTTTACCTTACGGTAAAGCCCATCGTGTTTAATGATATTTACATACGATTCTCTTTGTATTAATTCCATACCCTTATAGTTGGGTATTTGATCATGTACTTATGAATCTAAATGTGAAACTGAGTCAAATCCAAACAAAATCATGGCAGCCGAGATTCTTTACTCTAAAATATTGACATAGCTTAAATTTGTTTAGAGAACCATCGATCGAGGGGGGAAAAAGAGCGAGAGAAAAAAGTGAAATCGCCAAGAGGAAAGCGAGGATATATTGGCTTCACGCTAATGACATTATATTATAACGATAATGGAAAGTTCTCTTGCTTGGACACGGGGAGAAGATTCCGTAGATCTGTAAGGAGGAAAAAAGGCTGATGTCAGGTAGGGGAAAAACCATTTATTTAAATTTAAAAGTCGTGCATTGCCGGTTGAATTCTTCAATTTTAACAATCGTCAATTTAACGATAAATAATATCGTACCAAGTTTGTTTTCAAAATTATTTATATTTTAAAATCGGCAGCTTTCCGGTTTCCAGAGATATTATAAATTATTATTTATATCCCTGGTGTTTCCTGGCAAAAATGATAATTGATATAATTTATTTTACATCACTTTTTCATCCATACACCATTTGCTTTATATTTCATTTTATCACAAAGCGTATTAATCATACGTGTATGTATATCAAAAGATGCTAATGAAAGTAAATGCAGTGGTATCCGCGTGATATGGAGAATTTAACAGGTGTCCATTACATAAACCTACAGGATTAAAACATTCTTAGCAAGTGTTTATACTTACTTAAACAAATCACTAACGTAAAGTATATACTACATACATCCTTGTGGAAAAGGTAATCTACGAGTTCCAGAGTTTTGTTTTTAATCATCGTCGTATTGTGGTGAAGCAAGAAACATAAATTCGGGTCTGCTTTAAACAGACTTAATTGTGTAACTTTTTCATTTGTCAAAACAAATTTCTTAAAAATATACCGCTTTTTGATCAGAGCTTTGACGAATTACTGAAGTTAATGATAAACAAAATATTTACTCAGCCTTGGTTGGGGTGCATACTTGCCGGTCTTTTGATCTTATTTATTTTTATATTTAGAAAGTTAAAATTACACGTAGGTGTAAAAGCTTTGAGAATTATTAACTTGAAAAAAAAGATCTCATGGAAAATAACCAGGGGTACAGTAATGCAGATATATCCAGCAGTCTTGACCATTGTGCAAATAGCGTGTACTATAGATGTGTGAAGCAAGTGTTAATTTTGACTAATTATGTTAAACATATATGGTAAAATAGGAAATCTGAAAGAAAAGCGAAAGAAAGGAAAAAATAAAGAAAGGGATACATGATGCAAATTTTTGCAGTTTACACTATGTCGGGATGACTTAGTTTCTGTTTTAAAAACTTGATAAAATTCGATATATTATACAGTAGTGAAGGAGAAATTTCAAGAGTACTGTAAAACAAAATATTGAAGAAGTGGTGTAAATTAGATGTGGATACTTAAATTCCAAGGAACTTTTGGACAAATTGAATTCACAAGATTTTACCAAAATCAACAGCTTAAAAACTTTCAACTTTATACACAACCATTCCTCACGATAAATTTAAGTCCAGGCTTTTTTTTATATCATTGACTGCTGCTTTTTCAATAAAAATGGAGCTCGTAAATTTACTTGCCTTGTCATTGGTCATTTGCAAAATTATTTTGTCAAAAAACGTTCTGATTGTACACACAAGTACTCTGAAGTTGACATCAAAAAGATGCTTTTTGATGGAAAATATCTATGTTGTTTTTTGGAGACCAAGTCTTCCAACGATCTATTGGAATTCCCATGGGTACCGATTGTGCCCCGTTATTAGCCAACCTATTTTTATATTCAAATGAAGCAGAATTTGTGCAAATTCTTATGCGTGAAAAGAAGAAAACACTTGCTGTGGCCTTCAACTCGACATTTAGATATATCGACGACGTACTGTCAATTAACAATGGTAATTTCCATTCTTATGTCCATATGATAATCCTTGTGAGCTTGAGATAAAAAGATACCACAAAATTTGACACATCTGTTTCATATTTGGATATTTTACTTGAAAAAGACGTTAATGGTAATCTAACAACAAAATTCTGTGATAAACACGAGGACTTTAACCTTTCTATCGTCAACTTCCCTTACTTATGTAGCATATACCTTCATCACCTGCATACGGAGTTTATATATCTCAGTTGATTCGATACGCAAGTAGCATGCTCTACGTATGAACAAATTCTGAAACGAGGTAAATTATTGACAAACAAGTTGATGAAACAAGAATATCAACAGTCTCGTTTAAAGGCATCATTTCGGAAGTTTTGTAGTCGATACAATGACCTTGTCACAAATACAATTTATCTTGAGTCAAATGCTGACGGACGTTTTTCATACTTAGTGTTAGTCCTTTATTTATGCACTGAATTGACGACAGATTTTTTAGTTATTTTCCGATCATGACAAGGAGCACACGACGGGTGGGACCGGTCGGCAGGAGGTGCATACTGACTCCTCCGATGGTAACTGATCCTACCTCTGATGTTTTGGAGGTCTGTGTTTGCTCTGCTCCTATTTTGTATTGTTTTATGGACTTTGATCTTGAATACTGTTCGTTATCTCCATTTGTTGCATATCTGAATTATCTTAATTCATGTGAACAACTACCTGTTAAGTAAAAAATTCAAAAGGATTTAAAACCCAAAAATACAAAATTAACCCTTAGAGGTTAATTTTACCTCTACTGGTTTATTAAGATAAGGCGAAATTTAATTTGTCTGCAGTATTTTGTTACACCGTTGGTTGTCCTTATACAGAACACCATTAGCCAGTCTTGTACTTGTGCACAGGAAATGCATAGCCAAAATAACAAGAAAGGCGCAGTTTTTTTAAATTCATTTTAGATAAAATATAACTCTCATTTTTCTTTATCTGTCTAGAGATGTTTAGTTTGAATTCCTATTTAATACTCACTTCACAAGGCTAGTAAACAAACGGGAAGATGTCGATGTTATTTACTAAGTATCGGTTGCAAACTTTTTCATAAACCATTGCGTCAACGATTCATAAGAGGTCAGCAACCCAGCTAACAAATAAATGTGACATATTACATGTCAAGCTGATAAAGTGATTGACCCTTGAGGAAGTTATGAATCAGGGGAAAAAACCATTTCCAATCGAGCACCACAAGTCAACAGTCTGTTTTCTCGCCTGGATTAAGATTTTTAATCCAATCGTACGTTGAATCAGTCGAAGCCTCCTGCTGGTCTAATGCTTATTAAGGTTGACATATGTCTGCTTCAATCCCAGAGGCAAACGTATTTAGACCAATACCCCCACCGTATTGGCATGGCTTAATTAGGCCTGCTTACTGCGAAAACTTGTTGTCTCTGGAGAATGTACTTTATGTCACGAATTTGTTAGAAGAACAACCTTACTGAATTTATCAGTTTCTCTTAGACAAAGCGACAAGTACCATGTCATTGTAGAAAAAAACAACAACAAATATGAATACTAGTAATATTTGTTTAATTAACAGAAAACAATATATAGAGAACATTTAGTATGATGATTAAGGATAATGCTGATTATTTTCAGATAAAAACCACTTTATGATGACTCAGCGAAGTTGCTTCTTCCTCTTCTCTCTTGTGTTAACTCTGCTGTGCATCTCGTTGTTATTTACCTAATTAACTAACCAATCAATATGAAGTTCACTTAATTTGGACACTAAAGTATGTATTGCATGGTGAAGGCTGCACCCATCAAATTACTCGTATTGATCATCAACAGAGTGTTTAGATCATTGAATAAACATATTTCTTTCAAGAAAAATTGGAATCTGTATGAAACCTTTTTACTCCATCGACTTGTTTATTGTAAGATGAGGCACAAGTTCCAAAACCTACGACTGTCTCCCTTGATGCTGAGTTCTTTCACACCGCTATATCTCCCAGTGCTTGTTTTCCAACAATCCAGCACAAAAGTTTCTTTATATTTTAAAATTCTCATATTGAAAAGTTTATCTAAAATTAATTACTAATTGGTCAAATTAGCATATTAAGCCCTTTTATAAAAAGGTCAATGAACTGATTCACAGTATATTAACTAATAGGAAGCATGATCATGTGTGTCCCTCCGTGCTATGTCCACTACGAACAGAATACGTGACAAATAACAAATGACTAACAAATCAATATAGGATCATTAATGATACTTATACGGATTCGGAAAAAATGTAACCTGACTTGTAAAGACTGATACATTCACATTTGTTTTTTATAGATAGGGGACTATTGTCTGGTTTCTGACTACATGAAATATCCAAAGTATATAATTCCTTTAAAGTATTCTATATGTATATTTAAGAGATTTAGATTTTTAAGGATTAGGATTCAGAAGATCATATTTTCCTTTCTTTCTTGTATTTTTAACTATAAAATTGTGAAATGAGTTTCAAGAAATATCGAACGCGATTTGTTTTATGTGAACGAAATGTATGAAAATATTTTCTTTTCTTCAACTCAATATTACTACAGAATAATGAATTTAGTAAATTTTTTTTAACAATCAAGGACTAAATTTTTCTGAAGTAACTGAACGTAACTATGATAATTATTGACCAAAAATTCAAGAAAAAAAATGTGCCAAATTTTTCCAATAAACTAAAATCTTGTAAGCTTTTGAAACCTTCTTTCCAGTCTAAGAGCAGGATTAGGTAAAAATTTGGACATTTGTTTTCTCTGAAATACTGTCCACATTTTTAATGTATCAATTTGTTTCTTTGTATGTCTTGATAAACTAAGAATGAAATAAATATAAGAGGCGTATGAAAAAAAGAATCGTTCAACCTTAAAATATAAATAAATAAGGAGAACATCTGGGAAAGCAAATTAATTTATTTTAGTTATATCATATTATTTTCATTTGGTAGAATCATTTGAGAGGACCTAGTGGTATGATCTTTTTAATAAAATGAAATACTTAATTTTTGGAATAGAAAAAGCCAAGATATTGTCTGATTGTAATTTTTGAATTTACCGGGTAGTAGTAAATACTAAAATTACAATATGACAATATGATTGAGTACAGTGAGTTTCTATATTCTAGACGTCAATTAAAAAAAAGAAAGTTAATGATCTTGGTCTGACCTTGCTACAAATTAAAAATATAAGATTTGTTGAGTCTAAAAATTTCATTAAATTCTAATCACAATAAATATGACTAGAATCTGTCCTGAAGAAGGCTCGATCCGGAGCTTTTGAGCAGATTTTTGTTTGGACCTTTATTTTCTAAAATTCTGCATCATATTTGAGTTGTTACATTAAATTTGGATTCTAC